CAAATATTAAAAGGAATGACCCTTCAAATCCATTGCATATATAAATTAAAATCAACCTGAGAAAATAGAGACTATTTAGAAAGCTGCTGATATAGATTAGGACACATTGTGTTGACGACTGGTCTTCCGCATGAAACACCATTTCGCAGTACCAATACAAGTACTTATATTATTAATGTAATTCCTTTTTTCCATATTCTACTAATACTAAATTGTTAAGAAATAAGTTTTTGTTCAATTTCTTTTTTTAAAAATTCGTTTTCTTCCTTTTTTGCTTCTCTTTTTCTTCTCTTTTAACCTGACTGTATTATCCTTCCTCTTCTTGCAATATTCCTCCTTTCTTGTTTCTCTCTTATTTTTCTATTCGCTTGGTTTCCATGCCAACATCAAGATTATTCAATCGTTTCTTGATTTCTCTCATAGACACCGGGTTCACTCATTTTCCTCTATGAAAACTGACCGTCATCTTTAACGATTCTTTCTCTCTCCACACACACACACACATATATATATATATATATATATATATATATATATATATATATATATATATATATATATATATATATATATATGTGTGTGTGTGTGTGTGTATTTAGGCAGAAAATTCTCCTTTAGGCATATCTGATTGAATAAATTACAGACATTATGTCTGCTAATTTTTAACAAAATCCATTCATACTCACGAATAATCTTCGGTGTATTGATATTAAAGGATGAAAGAAATGTGCTACAACTGTTTAAATTTCTTTTATTTTCATTTCTCAAGTTATAACATAGAGGAAATTCCATAGTGTATAATTTTTTCACGTTCTAAGAACGCTCAGCATATTGTCAACCGTTTGCATTTAAATGCATAATGGAAAATTACGGTAATGGATAGAAACGCACAGTTTTGTATAAATACCTGAACAACATACATCTTTCTACTACTTGCACCCCTGAAGATGATCTTGGAAGAAGATCGAAAGTACTTGGGAAATGGAAATAAAAAAAATTTAAACAGTTATATCACATTTCTCTCATCCTTTAATATCAACACACGATATATATATATATATATAGAGAGAGAGAGACAGAGAGAGAGGCAGAGAATCATTAAAGAAGACTGTATATATGTATATATTAAAATAGCGTATAAACAGAATATATATATATATATATATATATATATATATATATATATATATATAGAGAGAGAGAGAGAGAGAGAGAGAGAGAGAGAAAGCTTGTAAAGAATTAAAAAGACCTTATGCAACAGGAATTTATAAACGGGGATCATATCATTCATATACAGGTTCGGGGTTGATGTATCTTATTTATATTGTTTGCGACGAAGTATTCTCGCCATTTAAATCATTAACCTCTATATTTGTTTTTTGTATGAATGATTCATGAATTTATAAATTATATTTGCACCTTTTAATCGAAATTAAAATAACTGATCCAACGTACAACTCTCGGATAATAAGTGTGACATTACTGTAATTATTGAACAATATAGTTCATGCCATATTCACGGAAAATCTACCAGTAAAAAAGAATTCTCTTATTACTATATTTGTACAAAAACGCATAACCTTAAAATTTAAAATTCAAATTCAGCGTTGCGACCGCACGTTCCAGAACAATAACACATTTCTCATAGCATTTTTTCGGATTACATCTCTATTTTTGTTGTTCTCTTATTACTGAGAAGTAAAATCAAGAACAAAATCTACTTCCATACCTGATGATGTCTGTAGGAACAGACGAAAGCTTGTAAAAAATTAAAAAGACCTTATGCAACTGGAATTTATAAACGGGGATCATATTGATGTATCTTATTTATATTGTTTGCGACGAAGTATTCTCGCCATTTAAATCATTAACCTCTATATTTTTTTTTGCATGAATGATTCATGAATTTATATATATATATATATATATATATATATATATATATCCTGTGTTTCCTCATTCATTTTCTCCTTTACTTCTACTTTCTTTAATTCTCCTTCAATCCATCTTCCTCTATTTACGCATTCTCTTTTTGTCTTCATCTCTTCGTCTCCCTTTCATCCTCCCCGTCTTTCTTCATGTCTTTTTTTTTATTTCTTTCCGTTTTTGCTGGGAAATTTTCCATAATTAATAGTTTCTAAAAAATCATTTTGGAACCGCGGAAAGTAAACCAGTTAGATCCCCATCTCTGTATTGTATGCATCACTAAGCTATTTTCAATGGCTCAAATACCAGTGACAGTTCATCATAATATTGAGCTTAACATTCTATAATCTGTGTATTCATTTCTAATTACTTTAGAATAATTTTGTTATTCATATGTTTTTAAAAATATTTTACTAACGGTCTTCTGTAACGGACGAACTGTAAAAACTTGACCAAAACGAAAAAAATCAAAATGCACCATAATACAAGTAAATTGAACTAGATAAGAGTAACAGGAACAGACAGACACGCCTATCGTCCCCGTTCACAATGTGATAAAATATAGTTTTAAGGTATGGTCTTTTTATAGGGTAAATAATATCAGAAAAAAGCGTATATAAATATAAGCAACATGAAGATTGAGTTCAAACGTGAAACAGACTGTTGTCATTCAGCATTGAACTTGAACTCTTTCTTCACCCACCTCTCTCCTTCTTTCCTTCTCTCTCTCTCTCTCTCTCTCTATATATATATATATATATATATATATATATATATATATATATATAGTGGAGTTTATATATTCAATCATAATAATCTTAAGAAAGCCCGTTCATTAAGCTAATCCAATCTAAGCTTCACTCCAAACAGTAAGTTTATGAAAAATATTATTATTTTCTTGAATATTTGCATGCTAACTTCAGCGATTACATCACCAACACGGACACAGTAAGGAGAATGAGTTGGCATTGAGGATGCACGCAAGCACTTACACGCATGCGTAATCTACTCGCGATTCGTTGTTTAAATTTCAGTCCTTTAGGCAAACCTCCGTTTTCTTCATCAAAACCTTTCGTTATTAAGCTGGTTCGTTTAGAGAATGGTTTGTATATGGGTACCTCATTGTATGACTAGATATATAAAGAGAAAGATCTCTCTCTCTCTCTCTCTCTCTCTCTCTCTCTCTCTATATATATATATATATATATATATATAGCGAAATATACGTGAATAAAACGAAGAAATAAGCGAATCTTCAACACAGCTCTACAAATTTAAATAATTTTTATTATTTGAGCATTATTTTTCTTTCTGATTGAAAGAAATGAATTACAAAGATTCATTGCGAAACATCTCCACAGAAAATACTTTGTGTATATTCATTACAGTACAACCGAATGAAATGCGTTAGTATAGAAGAAACAGAATGCGTCTACGTGTGAGAATGTGTGTGACACATGGATTTACGTTGTTTTATGAATGCGTACAAATTGTAGCACTCGACAGTTGAATAAGCAGTGTGCTGTCTTAATCAGTCAGTTATATGCCATGCGTGATACACGCTTAGGCGATCAGGTATCTTTCGATACATGACTGACGAGGCAGACATTTTTCTCGCAGTAGGTTGCCATTACCTTCTGCGGTAGACCAATTGTCATCCAAGGCTATAGAAACCGGTCTCTCCTGCTATTTACCTATAGTGGTGGGGGCGGAGAAAAAAGGATTCATACCTTTTCCAAGGGTATTAGCACGTAAGTGAATGTAATGGATTCGACTGGAATTCGAACTCGAACCATGCTGTCTTAATACTAAAGCTAATATATGTTGTTGACAAATAACTTGGTCCGTATGTTTTTTATGTGTCAATATCGCTAAGCATTTTGTAATATAATATACTCGAATAAATATGCAAAAATGTGAGTGTGATAATTTCAGTTCTGTACGACAAACGAACGACCCCTGGTCAAAGGTTAATTGAAAACTATACTAGCGAACTAAAAATTGATCACTTTTATAATAAAACATCGTCTCCAGAAAAAAAAATTAGATTTATTAATCCCATGTTTATTAGTTAATAAATATTTTTCCAATCTTTAAATATCCATTTTAAGGAGGGAATATATTGTTGCTCATATTCCAAAATTACGTAACAAACAACAAATCTTAACTGTTTGCGAATTCAAAGAATACCACGCGTCTCATATCACGTTGCTGATTGGTTAAATTATATGAATATAGAAATTCAAATTCGAATACACAAATGAGTTAGTTTGTGAGTTTAAGTAATCTATTGCATTTTTGTACAATTCTGTAACGGGGTTCCACATATATATCTTGACTGAAAGACTTAGTGGGCATTAGATAAAGTAAATTTCGAAAGTTAGAATTTAGAAAGCAGTGCTTTGACTGCAAAGGAATATTAGGGGATTCAACAGCTGGTGTTTTTTCTAGACTAAAAAAGGCATAGTAAATCCAAAGCCGTTTAATAGCAGGGTGTAAAGATTTCTAAGACAAGCTTTTTCCAGAAAACAAATAGTTGCCAATTCAAAAATTAAACTCATCCTCATATATTTTCTCTGACAAAATTGAAAGTAGATATAAAAAACGATTCTACTGTGACAACCACTTGGGTGTGTAAGTTAGTCTTTTCTAAACAATTCGTGATAACACCGGTAAGAAGCAAGGGCGACTGGAAGTGAAAGAGAATGAAAAGACTTTAGAAGGAAACGGAAACCTAATAATAGTCGTAATTATTATTAGGTTTTATATTTAAAATATTGTTCTAAAAATTGAGTTTTACATTCCGTTTTTTTTTTTGTGTGTGTGTTTATTAACAAATAAAAAAAAAATCTGGCGTCATACGGAAATTAGATTCTGAGAAATGGATAAAAATATTCAAAATTGATGAGTATACGAATAATTTCGTCGTTGACTGTACATACATATGTTTTTGTCTGCCGAACTTTTTATCGATACGAAGCGCTGAAAAGATTTCTGTTCAACTCTCTTGCTAACATTTAAATAAAGAAACACGCATCAAAAATTAACTTCCAGTTCTTGGACGGGTCAAGGATTTAAAAAAAAATCAGTTTGCTTATCGAAAAAGAGAGAAAGATAGATCCCCAAATGTAAACAATTAATAAAATAAAACGATAGATATGAACAGATGGATATGAAATAGGAAAGAAAGAAAGAAAAAATGAAATAAAAAAAGAAAGAAATAAAATAAGATAGATAGATAGATAGATAGATAGATAGATAGATAGATAGATAGATAGATATGGTGAGCAACTTATAAATGTATTATATATGCAGTAACACTAAAAAGGCTTTATCGATAAATACCTTTTGCTAGTTATAAATTTCACCCCTCAAGATCGCTTGAAGCGTGAAACTGATAGTCACCATGCAATGTTGATTCCTATGTCTAAACTATCTATATCTGCAAACGCTCTTTCTCCAATATTGACCATTCTTCTCCGGTAAATATATCAAATTTTAAACGACCCCACACACACACACACACAAATTATCACGTATATATATATATATATATATATATATATATATATATATATATATATATATATATATATATATATGTGTGTGTGTTTATATTGTGTATGTGTAGGGGTATCGTGAGTTTATTGATGTAGATATGCAAAATGCGTATTTTATATTAGTATTTATTGACGTAAGTCGAAAAAAATATAAAGAAAATTAGAAATGGCTTTGTAATTCTTGCATGACTGGCGTAGTTTTTTTTCGCTTTGGGAACGAACTCTGACATCCATCATTTCCCGTGTAAAGGTTATCCCAGTCAGCATCCCATGGAAACTGCCTCTTCGCGACTTCATTTCTTTAGACCTGCTCAGCTGCCATGACATCAATATATCACGTGGCCGGCCAGTTTCTATCTGCAATGTCCCGTGAGCTTTTATATGTTTAGCTCATTGGCTGAACAGAAGTCTGTCCGATGGTTCAGTGGTTTAAGCTTAGGACGAACGAGGGAAGTTAAGCTGTCAATATATTGTGTAAAGCAATTCTAATTTTAAGCCTGAAGAATAGATATTATGTTTGGAAGATTGGAAAGCGTCATTATTTGGCTGAACCTCAAGATTAAACATTCCACGATAATGCTTCTAAGGAATATAAGTTTCGATACCCAAGTACTATAAATATTCTTATTCAAAGCAAAATTTGTTTAATACTAATTTTTCTTGTTATATGCTTTACATTGTCATTTACCTCTTTCCTTATTTTTCTTCATTTAAGTACTCCTAGAATTAGTAAAGATATTTGAAACTATTTCGTTATCAAACATTTAGTATAGGAGATGAGGAAATTGAACCTGGGGTAGGTTGCGTTAGGGGCAGTTTTTGTGCCAAATTGCAAGATGCTACAAAACCAAAATATTAACCTGAGACTTGAATCATGTTCTTAAATAACTTCATCAGAGCGAGGCTCTCATATGGAACTCATGCATGGTTTCCACCTCGTTCTGAAATGTCTAAACTGTCAGCTGTATACAGCCATTTTCTGAATAATTAAAAATAGTTTCAAGCGAATGAATGCTCTAGGTCATTCATCAGATCTTATGTACTGGAGCTACAGAATCACAAACAAATAACTAAATAACAAAAAAACAAATGTACAAGATGGACTCTGACGAGTAAAACCTTTTGGCACGACACAGTGACCCAAATTTCCTTGCAGTAGATGCAGATATTGATTCGGTGTAGTCGCTCCACTTCAAGTCAGTTGAAAATTTGAGACCAAGAAGCCGCAGTGTCTTGCTCTCCATGAGTCTAGCATGAGCCATGCCGGTAGCAGGCAGGAGAAATTCTCTATGGTGTTTAAATGAGAGCAGTTTCGTTTTGGAGGCATTAGAATTTACGAGCCATTTCTTGAACCCCTCCCCACTCAATTTAACCACAGATTGGAAGTTCTTTTCAAGAGCAACGGCCATGTTAACTTTGTCAGTTCTGGCGTATTTACTATTGAGACATAAGTAAATGGTAGTGTCATCAGCATAAATGCCTACTTGGGAATTGATGATACCAGGAAGATCATGAATGAAAATCAGAAACAGCGTAGGAACCAGGATAGAGCTTTAGGGAACACCCGCGTTTGTGTGAAAGGATCTGGAAGAGAACCCGTTTAAAACGACCTTCATTTCACGATTTGATAGGAACGATCCCGTAATACGGTAGCCCTGGAACTAATGTAGAAGTCGAAAGCGGTAGGAGACTAATAGAAAGATAGAGATGTCAGAAGGTTCTCCAGAATTCTTAAAAGCAGGAACTGCAGAGGAGAACTTGCAACAAGTTGGAAAGCAGGAAGCAGCGAGGCAATTGTTGTAGGGTTTGGAGAGGACAAGAGCCAGCTCGAGAACACATTTCTTTAGGACGACGGCTGGGATCCCGTCACCGCCGCTTGCCTTATGAAAGTCCCGTCACCTCCACTTCCCTTATGAAAGTCTAATTTAGAAATGATTTCTGTAACCAGTGATGGGGTAATGCGTATATCACTCAATAGACCCTCCGTTCTAAGGGGGAAACCAAATGCGGGAGCACCTGATGATTCGAGTGTTGAATTGGAAGAGAATTTCCGAGCAAAGCATTTAGTCTTATCTGCTGTAGATGCCAGGATTTTGAATTGATTGAATTGAGGCGTGATTGAGTATTTGCTGTTGTTCAGCACACACTTGCATAGCCGCCAATAATCTCTAGAAACGAACTTGCGAGATGCTATACGTTGTTTAATTTTGTCAGCAAACAGTAATTTGAGGACACGCTTGCACTCGTTACGAGCAGAGACAAACAGACGTCAATACCTGCGAAGAATATTATTATTATGTACTTTTAATATTTCAAATTTCAAGTGATTGAAGAATGACTTTCGTATCGCTTTCCTTTGCCATTAGTTTTATCAGTCAGTAATTGTTGACTATTTGATGCTCGACCTTGGAGTTATATGGGAATCTTACTACGAAACGAGCAGATATGATCTTCTATGTTAAAGACTTAATCGTGTAAAAACCAGAGACTAAAATGTCTTTCATAATGTGTGTGGGTTGTGTTCTCTTTCTGACGAACACACATGCACTTATGGGGAACAGAGAAAAGTGGTACATGTGGTACAGCACTGAAAAGACACACTAGAGAGAAGGAAGATAGAAGAACGGAATAGAAAAAGATGAAAAAAATGTGAGAATACGAAGCGAATGAATGGAGGAATGGAAAAGAGAACAGAGAGAGAGAGAGAGAGAGAGAGAACTGGATGAAAAGAAAGAATGAATGAGAAAAGACAGAGAAGGTGACAGGAAAGCAAAATATTGAAAAAAAGGAGTAAAATAGAAACAAGAGGGAGTGAGATAGAGAGAGAGAGAGAGAGAGAGAGAGAGAGATAGAGAGAGAGAAAGAATAAGATAGAGGAAGAAAGTGTTTAAGAAAGAATAATCAAGATGAAGAAGAACGCTTGAGAACGAGAATAAGAAATGAGAGAAAGGCAAACACTGAGATAGCCACGAAGAAGAGAAAGCTAAGAGGTAATAAAATTAAAAAAAGCAAGCTGTACAGTAAGGATTGGACAGGAGAGAGACAGAGAAGATGATTTTTTAGAGAGTGAGAGTAGAGTGATAGAAAAGAGTGAAGGGTAAAGAGGATGGAAAGTGTTAAGCCGAGTTTGTCGAACATGACATTGATGGGAAAGAAAGAGATAAGAAGAAAGAATATTTCAGGTGGGGAAGTTTGAAAATGACCTCTGGCAAGTGACAGCATGTAACTTTGGAAAGGTCTTGCTCCTGACTCAAACGAGAGCAAAACTGACAGTACCCAACTCGTTAAAGAAAGAAAATTCGATGGTCACATGACGTTACACATGATCTGAATGAAAACCGAACAAATGCTCACTTGCATCTCTCTACTTTCTACTTTCTTCTTTCTCTCTGAGAGTAAATTTAGAAAAGACGACAGATGTCATAATCTGTTCTACAATTATACAACATTTTACTGATCCTTTAGATTTTAATGATGACTTTCAAGGGGGGATAGGTGGGAATTTCTATTTAGAAGATTTATGCAACAAAATCTTCTTACCCAAATCTCTTTGTACTGTATTAAACGAAAAACAGTATATGTATATATATATATATATATATATATATATATATATATATATATATATATATATATATATATACCCCTAAAATATAACAAAGAGAGAGTATGTTTTCCTGTATCTAAAAAGAGTATGTTTTAGTGAAGACAAAAGCGAGTAAATTTTCGTGTAAGAAGAGTACGTTTTTGTGCATGCAAAATTCAGTACGTTTACGTGGCTCTAAAACGAGTACATTTTGTCTATATAAGAAGAGTATGTTTTGTGCATAAAAAATGAATAAGTTTACATGAGAAGAGTATGTGTTTGTATATGAAAAAGTGAGTACGTTTTCGCCTATATAAGAAGAGTATGTTTTAGTTCATGAAAAAGTGGGTACCTTTTCTTGTATCTAAAAGAGTACGTTTTTGTGCATGACAAAAGTGAGTACGTTTTAGTCTATATCTTAGTCATCTTATACCTAAAAAAGTATGTTTTTTGAATACTAAAGTGAGTACATTTTCGTTTATCTAAGAGTATTTATTTTAAATATAAGCGTATGTGTTCGGGTTCCCAAGCAAAGAAAATTTTCTTTAAAGCAAGAAGAGAGAGGACATTTTTACGTTTGTAAGATAGGACACATTTTCGTATATGAATATGGAAGATAGAGTACGTTTTCGCGTATGAAAAAGAGTACACATGCGCTATCTCTGAAAAAGTACGTTTTTATATATGCAAGAAAGAGTGCGTTTTCATTTATTTAAAAATTTTCATTTTATTTAAAAGAAGAGAAAGAAAGAGAGAGTGATTACCTTTTCTTATTGAGAGAGAGAGAGAGAGAGTAGAGTAGAGTTTCATGTGTGTGAAAAAAAGAGTACCTATACGTTAGTACAAGTATCAAGTATATTTTTGTTTATACAAGTAGAGAAAGTTCGTTTTTAGTGGATGCAAGATAAGAGTATATTTAATGTGAAAAGAGAGCCTAGAGGTTCGTGTGTGTAAAATAGAATCCATATTAATTGGGTACAGAATGTATTTATAAGCAGACTTTAAAAACAAAGAAAAAAAGTCAGTTATCATAACAGAAATATCATTGCGTGCCTAGTTCTATTTAATACAAATTTTAGCCGCGAAAACCTTTCCCAAGTTTTGTTTTCGCCTTCTATAGCTTGGTATTTTGTTTAATTGGCTTCTTGCGTGCAAAATCAATGCGATAAATCATTTTTATTTCTGGATTAATATAAGAGGTGACCAGACAGAGGAAAATTCGCCTCACGGTATTCCAAAATTCAAAGGTCTTTTAAAACAAGGATGGAAAAAACACTTAAATCAGAAATAATCTATCTATCTATCTATCTATCTATCTATCTATCTATCTATCTAATACTTTTCATTCTCTTGTATTTTGTCCATCTATACGCACATACAGATAGACACACATACATACACACACACACGTTCATATATATATATATATATATATATATAGACGCGTCGGGTAAATTGCCGCCATTTTTATATGCACACATTGTTTTTTATTTTGTCGACTGCACAGTATAGTAGCTGGGCACCGTCAGTGAGAAATTTGGAAACAGCATGTTCTATTCTTTGGCATTCGCGCCGGAAGTTCTAATACAAACATTTCAGAGTGTTTGGGTGTCAATATGAAGACAGTGCTGAGGATTCGAAAAGAGATGGATGAGTCTAATAGTGATTACGAATGTACGGCAACTCGAAAAATTCATTCTGCTCATTCTGATAAGAAAAGAACTCCCGAATATTTTGGTGAATGTTTATACAAGTTTTACTAAAGACAACTAACAAAGTACTGCGGTTTAGTATTTTTATTTAATTTTTCTTGTGTTCGTACAAGTGTTTTGTTTTCTGGACACAAAGAATGTAAAAACTGTTCAAAAGTTCTCCATACCCGAGCGCCTTTGGATATTCTTTTAGTCATTATCAAGGACGATTTTATTTTTTTATTTTTTAACTGAATGTGTGTGTTACTTATGTATGTATCTTAAGTTATAGGAATGTTTTATTTTCCAAACAAAGTCAACACGTTACGGTCATGTTCATAGTTAATGGTATTGAGTGTTAGCATTTTCTTTTTTATTATTACGGCTTCCATTATTTTTAATTCTTTTTTTTACATGTGAAAGAGGCTATTATACTTGTATTTTCTATTACTATGTTGTGGATTCAGTTTGATGAGTTCTGATTGAGCAGTGGTTAGATATATGTAATGTGAGTCATCTAGATAGGTATGTTGTGGTATTGTGTTTGATTTGATCGGGAACACAGTTCCTTAAAGAGGCATGTAAACTCATAAATAATATCAAATATAAGTATAGCCGAAGGCATCCGTATATGCAGAATTTTTGGACAGTTTTTACACAGTTTGTGTTCCATAAAGAAAACACTAATACGAACGCAAGAAAATTGAATAAAAACCTTAATCGCATTGCTATGTCGGTCGTCTTTAACGAAACTTGTATAATCGAACGATTGCTGCCAAAATACACACACACACACACACACACACACACACACACACACACACACACACACACACATATATATATATGTGTGTGATGGCATATAATCATTGGCAGCTTACGAACAGTTTCGTCTACTCAATTTCACTTACAAGGCTTGGGTCAAACTGTAATATGGTTTTCAGATACTTTCCAAAGATACCGAACACTGGGATCGCCTCTCCAGATCGATAACATAGAGTCGAATTTTCGAAAAGCGAAAAAAGTTACGACCACTCGGCCAAGCATGCATGCACGCACGCAACACACACACACACATACACACACACACACACACACACATATATATATATATATATATATATATATATTAATGTATATTTACGCAGCAACCTTTCTTTTAAACATCTTTCGTTAAATATAGTAGACAAAAAAATTTTTAATTTTAAATCTTCCATTTAAATATTTAATACACACATATATTATATATATATATATATTATATATATATTTTATATACACACATATATATATATATATATATATATATATATATATATATATATATATATATATATATATATATATATATATATATATATATATATATATATATATATATATATATGGGGGGGTGGATGGGTGGTTGTGTGTATTTAAGTGTACACGAATGTATATATCCTTACTAGTATATATGTGACCTTTAAACTATGAAAAGTCATAGAAAAATCTTTAGAGAACTTTATGTCGCCGGCAAATAATGTGATTGCTTGCCATTTATAGGAGTAGATAAAATAACGTCTTAACATTGTTAAGACTCATAAGAGATTCCTTTTAAAGCTGTCTATTCATTTCAATACCCACGTTTTTTCTTAAATCATCGCTATTTCTTACAAATATAATGGAATAATTACCATAATCTATGCATATATTCATGGAAACTCGTTATTTGAACCATTGATCTCAAATTGCAGCCAATTCCCACATGTTCTTATCTTCATTTCTATAAGTTACTGATGTCAGGCTATTGTAGTGGGAATTGAAGTTTCGTTTTCCACGTGCCTACTTCACGTGAAAGTTGAACTCAATGTAACAGGAATCATGGGAAATTTATTATCTAAACAAGGAATTTATTCTAAAGTCACCGAAGTTCCCAAGCTAATAATCTAGATTCCTATAGATTTTTACTTAACATAACTTTGTCTGACATAAGACTGTATGTATGCAGTACCTGGGTGAGGTTTGAACTCTGCTAGATTATTTTGGAAGTGCAAGTGGCCTAACGTTTAACGACGCAGAGAACTGTATCCGCCATCCAATTGAAATCCCGTTTTGGACGGTTTGCACTTAGTTAACACTAATTTCCCCGCAAAAGGCATAAACCAGCTTACCTTCCTCGGATATGGGTTAAATAGCAGGAGAAGACTAGACACTCTATTTGATAACTGGGCAATGTACAGTTTATATATATTAATGAATTTTCTTCTCAGTGAAATCTGTTCTCTTCTGATCAGAGTGACATTTTAAAATCAAAACTGTGGTCATTACGCTGAACCACCAGTGAGTTTGATTGTTGTTCTGCAGAAGATCTCTGCATTGTTCATATAATATTTTGTTTTAGATTTATGGACGTTTTGCCGATGTACATTAACGGGCATTTTGTACAGTCTACTTTGTATATCCCTGCTTCTGTTCTGTTGTTGCTATCTCGTTTGATATTAACTATATCTCTTATTTTTTTAGATGTGGTATTGATGAAGTTTATGTAAAAGATGGACAGGCTTATTCAATGGTGGCTGTTATGGAGTTGGTAGGTAGGATTATTTATTTCATTTTGTCATAGTATTATCGGTATCATTGTTACTTGTGGGTTTTGTGGTTTTTGTATCTTTCTTCTACCAATTTTATAGGTTTTGCGTTTGGCTTTGTGCGGGAACTAATTCGCATATTGGATGAGTCTGAAGGTATGTTCAATGTATTCATCTTCTTCGGACAGGAATTGGGTGCTACAGATTCTAAGGGCTCTTAAATAAAAGCCTAAGATCACTCAGGATTTTGTTATTGTTGTGGTGGGGGGGATAAAATGTCATTATTATTTGTTAGTTTTTAATAAACCTTTAGTAGAATAACTGTGTGAGGAGACATGATCACCATTCTGAAGGATGTGGTAATAAAAATACTCTATTTACTTTTGTTCGATAGCGAGTTAACTTTAAGTTGAGTTTGTATTGATAATAAAGCCTAACATTTTTTATTAATACATTATTATCATAGTTTGATTGTTTAAACCAGGAAAAGAGTGCCGAACTGTTATGTAATATTAATCCTTCTAATGGTAGTCAATGGCGGACAATTTAATTAAAAATGAAGAAGAAACTTGAAGAAACAGAAAAATGGTTTTACAGAAGTAATCATCGCAGCATGTAAGCAAAGAGGAAGTTTTAAAGAATTGTGGAAACAAAACGGACACTTATAATAATAATATTAAGAAAGACACCCTTAAAACTTCTCGGAAATATTATGAGGAAAGAAGGCTTGAAAATTTTGATACTCACAGGACATATGGAAGACTAGTGAGACAGCGGGAAACAGCGAGTAATCTACTTAATGATCTTGTGCAAATGGCGGACAGAACAGTGATTGGGAGGGATAGTAAAATGGTAGGCATTACTAAGAGCTTCAAAGGATAGTAAGCTATGAAGAACCATTAGCCATCACTTCCTAAAAGGGTATGGATCATAGAATAAGAAGATTTAATTAAACAATTAATTTCCATCAAGAAAGGAGACTGTCGTTGTTATTGTAGAATAACAATAATAAACAGCACTTACCGGTGTAAAGGTCCCAGCTAGCGTCCAGCTGGCAGACAAAATAAAGCAGGTTGTAACTTAATACAAACCCTGCAAACTAACAGATGAATCAAGCTGGTATTTATATAGAAATACCTCCACTCAGGTACCAGCAGCCAATCACAGCCCAAGCAATGGATTATCCCACTTTAGCACAATGAGATGCTCTATGGCAACATAAATAGCTCTCTTTCTAAAGGTTGGATTATTGTTCACTTAGCTTGTTCCACAACTAAGTGTTTATCTCTACCACGTGATTTTTCTACAGTTATAAACGCAATCACAAACAGTGAATAACCGTTGTGTCTATACGATTTCTGATTTCGTTGGCAATGGTTATTAGGCTGAGTCAGAAATAATTTCCGTTTTTGGTTATCAACGAATCTCTTTCTTCTTTTCACTAAGAAGATATCATGCCAAATTACCCAGCTCGCTGACTTTCCCTATCTTTTCCTAAGTGTCGGCATAGGATACATTGTGATGCGTTTGACATCTTTGCTGGGCTTGTGATGCTTTCTATGGCTCAATCGATTTGAAGCACGCTGGATCTGACGATTGTTATCCGACGAAAGTGGGGACGCAGGCTCGAAACCTCCCAGAGGGAGCATTTTCTTTTTCTAGACTCGATTACACTGGCCAGTTGAATCATTAACATTGTTTGAAAAACATCCCGTTTACTCAACCACGCGTATTCGTTAAAATATGACGTTCAAATAATAAGTAGTAATGTTGGATTAAAAATAAAATCCATTAGTTAGAATTATTTTACGTTTCATATACGAAAATAAAGTTATCATACATGAATTTTGTAGAAGATATGCACTTTTGGGAAGATCTGAACGAGAAATCAAACATTAATCATTTGAAATTAACTTTTTGGGGGTTTCTTTTAAAATTTTCACTTGAAAAATTGATGAACAAAAATGTTATTCAAAAGTGTACACTAAAGAAATAAAACGTCGAAAAGTTACATGGGAAATTTCCTGATAATACTTTCTTCACGTGTAGTTTAAATTCGAAAGACTGTCTTAAAATTCCTTAGTAGACGTTAATTCTGAGTGACAAAATGTAGATGTATTTGTCGTATTGTTTTGCTGTTTGTAAACTAACTTCCTCTTCTGTCACCGTCTTTCGTACACTCCATATTTTTAGCTTTTTTTGTAGACTAAATTCCTCTTCTCTCACCGTCTTTCGTACACTCCATCTTTTTTTCTCAACTCTCGTCCTATGAACGCCGTGATTCCGCGTTAATTTCTTTTGCCAGCTTAAAAAACAATGTATAGCTTCCACACGAGACTCTTTTTACATACAGACGCCAATGAGATCATTTTTTTTTAACTACATCCCGAACACAACAAATGTTGAACTTCCTTTCGCTATGTCATGAGTAAACGAGTTTAGATCAGTTGGTAACAATTCGAACAGTGTTCAATTTTCCTCGTAACAGTAGGTTTAGTTTAGACAGGAGTGAATAAATAAAAGAAACCTAATTTGTCTACAGTGTTTGTCTACATTGGGCGTAAGGTCAAGTCATAAGTAATTTCCGTTTTGGAAACAAAATTATAATGACGAATATATCATCCGTACTACTCATTAAACGTATCAATTAAGAATAAATTTTGGGGTAGACTAGCATAATTTTTGTAATAAATTTCTTAGCCCCACTAATGGATGGGTTGAAAGTCCATTTATATCAAATAATGTTATAAGAGTTCATGCAAGTAAATAACGCTATACAGACATTTAGAAAAATATGTCGTGTTTATGGTATCATAACTGACCTGCTGGTACGAAACTGGTTTGCAGTGTTGTTTTTTTTTTTCTAGAGAAAAGACATCTTTTCAAGGAAAAGTGAACATAAGCAAATTTAGCCGAAATTAGAACCCGTTTCGCGGATTCCTTTTTTAGAGGGTGATTCAGTTAAACTGTATTTTGAAAGTGAAGGCTGAGCTTTGGTTCAGATAAATAAAAACGATATGCCTTTCACATTTAGTTGCGTTGTTGGCCTTTATCCCCTCTCCTGCCCCCAGTCTTTGTGCATCGGCTTTAATGTGTGTCTCTGCTCCTTTGTATAAACATACCTCGGCATGCCCGTCTACATCGCATAAGACGTTCGGTTTTAACAATGTAAGATGCGCTAGAGATTATATTAGACAACAATGAAGATAATCAAACGTTGCTTGGGGACAAATAGAATTTCAACTGTCAAACAAACCCCAAGAAGAGATAGAGCGCTCCGTCGACTGGATGGAGAAGCGAACAGATACGGGAAAATACACAAGTATAAGAAAAAATAAAACGAGATGCAAAGGTCAAGCGATGTGCAGACAACCAAAATGAAAAAGAGAGTAAGGGCCGAGAAACATATCGGCAGGAGAGAGGAAAGAGAGGGAATGAGAGGAGAAAGAAAAAGAAGTGAAAGGCAGAGAGAAAACGAAAGGAAAATTAGACAGAATTAGAGTAAAAAGAAAAATAGGGAGACGTATTTTCTATTTTGAAATTTATACGTAAAGTCACAACAGTATTTAAGACCGAGTCAGAAAATAAAATCGACAAGCCGTGTTCGAATTTCGTTTACAAGGAGTCATGTTACTACTGCATTCATACTATTCAGAATTCAACGTTCCCTTACATCGCCATAGCTATCACTTTACTTATATATTCATTACTTAAAAATCTCCGAACTTACCTTTATCCATTGTTTTGGTAAAGTGTTATGACATTTTAGCGATCTGAATTTCCCTGGGAGTGACATTGAAGTCTTTTCCAGTTGCCTTCTCCACGGTGATTTTATTAAGACAATAACTCTAGTTAGCTCGCGGTTAACTCATCAAGACCACTGCCCTTTGATAGATCTTATTTTTCATCCTACAGGGTTGCTAATTACTACCCTCAAACCCAACGAAGAGAAGTGGACAGTCGGTTTAGTCAACGACCATAAAACAGATAGAGGTAAAAAAAGAATGATGGACTGAACATGTGAGTAATGGTGACGTTTTAAGGAAAATGGAAACAAAATGTGTAAACATTTAGAATCAGAAAGAGACAGTTGAAATTTCTAGTAGACACAATGAGGATAGAAAGCTTAAAAAAACTTGACAATCACAGGATATAATGAAATTAAACACAGAGTTACGAGGGGAAATAGCGAATACCCTACCTAACAAGCTCGTGTAAATGAATGACGAAATAAAGAGTGGGAAGGATAGTAATAAGATAAACATTGTTAAGTGATACAAAGGATAGGAAGTTGTGGAGAGCTACAGTAATTCATGTTCTGAAAGGAAACAGCATATAAAAAGTAGAAGTCATTTGATAACTATTAGCAATAATTATTTTGATACAATAGATAAATTATCTACGTGCGTACTTACATCGTATATTCCTATTTTGTAATAGTTTTTATAAAGTTTTTAGTCAATACGACTGTCGGTAGGACGGGGAAAGTTAGATTCATGTCTTTTCCCAAGGTTATTAGTATGAAAGTGACATTAGTAGTATGTATATTAATCGTGTAGAGTATAGCGTCACAGTATCAACACACTAGTTGTTGTGGTTTCTGGAGTATGGATTTCTTTTATGCGGTTGACTTACTAGCCGCACACTGAACCTGGTTTTGATTTCAGAGTTGTTCACCTAGACTGATTGTCAAACAGAGCTGAAGAGTCCAGTCTAGCCTGATCTGCTATTGACGCCTAAGGAGAAGGGATAGGTTATTACTTTCCCAATGGTTTATATGCGAAATCGAACGCAGCGGCCTTAGCTGGAATTTGAATTCGATAAGCCAATTCCACTTTCCACACCGATAACTTTCATGCTACATGCCCATCCACATTAACAGTTCATCTGGGATCGATTTGTCACTGTATCGATATTATAAAGAGGGAACCGGCTTCTAAATCGATCGAAATCAATATTTTTCAATTCTGATAAGTATCGACGCCTAAAAAAGTGTCAAAAAATTGCTAATCTGCAAGTATTGTTTCCAAAAGATATTTTCTTATTTTTTACAAGTGGACCAGACTATTTAAGTAGTACCGATTGTAACAAACAGATTGAACGTTCGGTAGACAAGGTCGAATTTACTGCTTATAAACTTCAATTCAAATTCGACCTTGTCTACCGAACGTTTCTTTGTGGCCGATCGGTAAGGCACGTCAGCTAAATGACGGTTCCGTATAGGATGCAGGTTCGAATCCTGTCAAAGAACGAATATTTTCTATGAAAATTTCTCGGACATTCAGGCCGGTAAATGTTATTTAATACTGTTTATTATAAACAGAGCATTTACTTAAATACTTGTATCTATAAAAGAACGTTAAACATAAAAATGTCTTTAATAAATAAATTGTTGGACTTTTTCCATTTCTTAATATATATATATATATATGTGTGTATATGTATTTGTGTGTATATATGTATATATATATATATATAGTGAATTTCTAAGAAAATATATATATATAGTAAATTTCCAAGAATATATATATATATATATATATATGTGTGTGTGTGTGTGTGTGTGTGTAGGTAAGTGGTAACTGACACCGCAAAAAAGAATCGGTCAGCCGATTTCGAATTTTGTATGCGGCTGGCTATCTTCACTTTTCATTAAGCAAAGGCATGAATCCACAACCCCTCGCATTATGTCCCATCGCTAGAGATTTTGAAATAATATCCCGTTATTAACATTGCACTATGTCCTTGGAAAAGAGGTTGAATGATAAAGTGACGTGACGTGACGTGACAGAAGGTATTTAAGCCTTCCAGAAAGCAAGATGAAGATTTAAGAAGCGGGAAAGAAACATTGGTCATTTTTGTCTCTATTGACGAGCAATGCTGAATTTTAGTTGTTGTTTTAGCAAAATCTATTACCCGTGTCATTTAAGTTGAATTATTATTTTGTTATCGTTGTTGTCAATCGTTATAACTTTGTTTAGCTTTTTTTTTGACGTTATTTATTGGCTGTTATGGTTGGATTACTATTTTTTCTTTCCATTGAAATAATTGCTTCAGAATAGTAGACTAAATAAAATCATGATGGTGCTGAGAATCGGAGAGGAAGATACGGCAGAATGATTTGAAATTTGAGGCTTTTGTATCCAACGTGATTGAGTCAACTATTTCGTAATAGCATTCTCAAGTTATTATTTTTTTAATTTTTAGATGAAATATTTTCATTGTTATTATTATGTTACTAACATTTCGTCACTTTATTAATGGCGTTCTTTAAACTAAGCATTCTGCTATTATTATTTTTTTTACCAATTTTACTCCCTACTAATTATTACATTTTAGTTCAACGTTTTCAGTATTATAACTGTATTACATTTAAATGATACTGACTTAGCATCTCGACTTCAGTCACTTTCTCACTGACGTCACGTGGCTTCCCTCTGTCTTTTCTACAAATATTTTCATGGCAACTGATCTGAGGAGATTTTTTTCCTGGTGCTCCGAATACATGAATATAAGCGTGCTATTAGATTGGAATCTATGGCGCACCCTTGTATTTTTAAAATATCTAAATCCAGCCAAAATTTCTACTCGAAAAGTTTGTTTTCTCGTACTTCTAACCCGTGGAGCTCTCTTCAGATTGCTTACTACACTTATAACTACAATCTTCAAAAATTTAAATGCAACGTCAATCACTATCTTTTGCCTTCTTGAATCCCGTTCATCTTTTGTCCTTTCCTCAATCCTCCCTATTCCCAGTCTTCTCTTTCACTTTCACTCCCTGTAACCCCTTGTGTAGCATTCACTCCTTGCTTGGAGTGAAATGATTAAAAAATACTCTGTCTTATTATTGTTGGCGTTTCGATGAAGACTTCAAACTGTCATCATATTAATACATTTGCTTCATTCTGTTATTGTTGATATGTATTAAAAAATAACTCTTGGTCAATTCATTATTCATTATTGTCATCATTTTATTCCTGGTTTTATTCTTTATTCTAATTGTTGTTTGTTATTATTCAGGATCAATAAACTTTGCGATCATTAGAGAAAAACATGAAATGTTAAAAGAAAAAGCTTTTAATGATACTTCTAGAAGTTGAACAGTTTATTATTCCCGAGTGCTATGATAAAAAAAGAACAAACATAATGCAGTAGAATCCTAATGGAAATAAAATTATCATAATACTAAACTTATAGGCTTTATTTAAAACAATAAACAAATTCCTGCAAAAAAAATAAAACAAATGTAGCAGAGAGAATTGAATAGATGTGGATAGCAAGATGATTTGTGCTTCACTTGGTCGAAAGTTCAAGAATGACGAGCTTCCGCTATTTGAGAGGCAAGTTTAAATCTCGTTAGAAGCTAATTCTTAACTTCCGATTTCATAATGTTTGCTCTAGCGGCCGAACACAGTTTTGTGTTAAGAAATAACAATAAGATGGAGTAAATTTAGTAATAAAATAATAATGTAAAGAATTTTAGAGTATCATTTTTTTCTTTCCGTGTCCAGCAAATCAATAGTGAGAAAGCAATAATTATAGACAAAACAAATACATTATTCTATTCAGTCAAGTCAAAATATTCACCTGGCATGGGAAAAACTGAGAAGATAGAAACGACTAAGAATTTAAAGCCATTTTTAGTGGGAAGGTTAAAAACAGAAAAAAATAATACCGCAAATTCAACTAATCACCCCATCAATTAGAACGACCTTTAATAGAAGGAACAGAAAGTTCCAAATGATACATTTTTTTTCATTGGCTCTTAATTGGATATGGAAATGCCATGGACACAACAAATGAGCAATGAAGAAATTTTAAGGAAAATAGAAAAAAAAAACGACACTTAATTATATAATGAGAAAGAGACAGTTGAGATCTCTGAGACAAAAGCTTCTAAAATTTGACCCTCGCAGAGAGATACAGTGAATGACATAACTAACACGCTTACGCAAATAGGCACGCAGAACATGAACTGCATGTTATAGTAAGAGGGCAATCGTAACTAAGAGATAAAAAGGATAGGAACATGTAGAGAGGCATGACTACCCGAAAAGGAACACGACACATACAAGAAGAATAATGGTAAATGTTTCGCTCCAAATGTTGTTAAAATCCATGAGAAGATGAAATAAAATTGGTCGACAAATAATAATTATGATTACAAGTATGGCAACCTCGAATATTGTGAGAAAAACCGATAACGAGGAATTAAGTTGCTAATAAGATGATAATAATAATCAGGAGTCTATCGACTCAGAGTTTTGTGATGAAAAGTAGAAGTAATAAGACGAACTAAAACCAGTAATAAAATAATAATCATAAGAAAGTTTTCTCTTTTTCTTTTGAACGATTCCTTTCAAAAAGGGTCAACAAAGGATCTATTTTGCTTCAAGGGGAAATAATGATTCTGTTTATCCTAAACTCTTCATCTCAGTTATCTTGCATTTAAAGAAAAGATAAAACCGAGTAACAAAGCTGATCACAGAGATATTTTTATTACCTAAGGGTTCGAGTGAATTATGAAGAAAGAGCTTTATTTAATGTAATTCAGCTCTGTAAACACCGAACTATCAAAATAACCTTTTTTTTTACTCTTTTTCTATATAACTTCCAGGTCGACATTTATAAATCGTGTAAAACGTTTTATAACATATGAAGTCTTATATAACGAATATATAATATGCTAAACAGTTTTCTAAGCAGACTTGTATCTGCTTTATTTGTTAAAAAGATTAGTATCATTTTAAGGACTCGAGATTTTTTTATATTCCCGAGCATTTTTCTTTTTAAATAAACGGAAAAAAATTAGAAACAAAAGTACACTGAATAGTGTAGAGAAAGACGCAGTCGAACAACTTATGCAAAACGTAAGAAGGTAGTGTAGCTGTGGCAGAGAAGTGTTAACATTCTTTAAACGTAGAATGAATACTGCAGCAAAAAAGATGGAGAACATTTAACAACTGCACTAGTTTTTTTTTTCGATAACAATAGCAATGGTGCATCAGAGATATGTAAATTGTGGAAAGATATATACACATATGAATAATGCGGTCGTCGAGAGTTGATGCAAGTACCGGACCAAAATCGATAAATAAGGATAATAAAGATACTAATCAGTTATGGAAGGAGAACATAGCATCAAATCACATAACGTTTCAAACAGAATGTAATGTACTGTATATATTTTGTGAGGTTCATAGTCGCTGCCAACAAGGGTACGATTACTGATACCACGGTATCACTGAACATTACCTGGGTCAGAAAATATCATCAAAGTACACAAGGAAACTGGCCTTGTGTCGACTAGTCAAACGAGTTATATTTCCAGTTAAAGTGTAACCCGGATATAAGAGAGTTGTCGGGACCGGAGAAGAAGTCTCTTATATCCGGGTTTCTCTTATATCTGGGTTTGATCTATTTTTCTATTTTGCTCTAATTTGGGACCAGAGAAAATCTCTCTTATATCCGGGTTTCTCTTATATCCGGGTCTCTTATATCTGGGTTACACTGTATTTTGTTTTCGATATGACGGCCGAGTTCGTGCATGGAGGAGATCGCGTGAGGCTATAAATCCAGCCTTTTAACGGAATGCTGTGTGAGCTGATCGTGGTTCTGTAATAGCGCAGTGTGTGTTCTGCTGGAAATTGCAAATACTCTTACTGAACATGGAGTCTGTTTTGATAGATTTTTGTATAGAATTTGCTCCTTTTTTTGCATTCACCATATTTCCGGTTGTGATGCGTTCTTCCTGCAAGATAGCGTTCTCGACCATCATGCGCATGAAATTGATTCTAAGAACACTCATCTGAGTTGGTCCAAACGCTCATCAGTTTAGAACTTCGTTATGCGTGCATGTGACATATTGCAGTCATTAATAAACTCCCTGCAACCTTACCCAGTAACCATAACTCAATTATGAATCACTCTGGATCATGTCTGGATAGATATATCCCCATAAAGACTCTAGCACTTTCGAAGACTCTATGCCACGCTCTGCATCTGCCGTTATTCTTGCCAAAAGAGCGAGATGTTGAATTACTGAAAAACTCTTCAATTACTTATGTACTACTTTGCTGTGTATTTGTTTACTTCATATAACGAGAAAATGCATATATTTTCTAGTGTCCATGCCTTCATGAGAAAAAGTGACAAGACAAAACACAACATGAGGGTTGGAAATTTAAAAAAAAAAAAACAAGTTATTTAGCAAAAGAAAAAAATCTTTTGATTGGACTTGTCTGGTAATTGAGATAGTTACGTTCTTGCAAACTGTGCCTGAGATCAGTGTTCGATCCCATATAAACGCCAGGATTTCTGTGGTTAATTTTCAAAGGATTTATGGTTTTATATAAAAGTGGCGCAACACAATCTTCCTACTCATTAGCAATAAAAACATAGGTGTAATTGTAAAAATCTCCTATAATTCCATCTGTAATCTATCTTAGCCTAATTCTTTTTATATCTATCCTTTTCAGTTTGTTCATATCTGTCTACAGACTTCCATCAATGTCCGTAGCTCAATGATGAAACAAGCATCTATTCTGCATAATAAATATTAATTTTCCAGCATAATCTCTTTCCATGTCATTGCACTTATTCCAAAAATTCTATATAAATCATAGAAATGGAACATAATACAAATAAATTTCATGTCAAAATTAATTTAATAGCTACAGGCTTACAGATGGAATCTATCTATCTATCTATCTATCTATCTATCTATCTATCTATCTATCTATCTATGTGTATTAATCGCTTTCTGGTGGTAAGTAAATTCATAGAATCACTGCAGCGAAAATATCAGCTTTACATTAAACAAAACTTTTGGGTGAGGCATGGTTTCATGATTAGAGCATTATTACCAAAGGCAATGATCAATAACTCACGATATCACAAGGCATTTTATGTGTATCCTAAGTATCACAAAGTGTGCATTTTATAGGAATGATTACAAGTGATCTTTTTTTTATTCAAGCTTTTTTGTTTAATTATGTTTTTTTTTTTTCAGTTCTTATCCAAGGATGCTGTCAGTTTTAGATGATTTTGTCATTGAAAAAATTACGGGCATAATAAATGGAATATACAGCACTTTATATTGCCGAATCAACAAACGTTTGAACGATTTTTACACTCATTAAATACAGAAAAAAAAGCTTGTTCGCACACAAGAGACATCTAATAAAAAACTTGTTTAACAAAACATGTATTAAAGAGAGGTGGCTGTCTAAATACACAACTACACATATATCTGTATGTGTGCGCGCATATGTGTGTATGTGTGTGTGTGTGTGTGTGTGTGCATAATTACTGAAAAAGCTGATTGATACGAAAATGATTTCAATTTAGGGATCACCAAACTCAGATTAGTAATCTTGACTAAGCATCAAAATTTTATCGGTTTAAGAAAATAGAAACAAAAACGGCACTTGTACTTCGAATCAGAAACAGACAGTTGAAATTTCTAGGGCACACTACGAGGAAAGAAGGCTTAGAAAGTTTGGCACTCACATGACATACTGAAGGCAAGAAAAGACAGAAGAGAGCAGCATATAACCTACCTAACGAGCTAGTGTAAATGTTTGTCAGAAAGGAGAGATTGTAAAGAGATAAACTTTACTAAGAAATACAAAAGATAGAAAATTGTCGTGAACGATGATTGCACACATCCTGAAGAGACAGATTACATAGAAGAAACATTTCCAGGAATGGACACTGATTACATGCATAAAAACACATGCACACAACAGTTTTTTCCCTGTTCGCCTTTTGCCAGCCATTAAGAAGGAAGATAAAAATATTCTCTTTGTGTGTCCCTATTCTTCAGTCTTTTTTTAAATACTTCCCACAATCTCGCATCAATGTTGAAGGACAAATGACGCACGTAAAAAAATAAAAATAAAAATAAAATAAAATAAATAAACAGAACAAAAAAAACAAGCAAAAGAAATTCTATTTCATTAGAGAACAAAATCGACCTTGATACTTTCTTTGAAGGAAATTCCCTGATATTTTTTTTACTCCCCCTCGGGACATTCATACTCTCATCCACCCACACAAATGATTACACCTGCTGATGAGATGAAACATGCACGCGACCCAAGAGGAAAACCATTACCGTGACCCCAACTTTTTATTTTAAATTACGATCTTCTTGAAATAATATTTGAAATGTCAGCCACAACCCTTACAATTCCATTGCTTTCTCTCTACACGAGCACTTAATACTATCATTTTTTTTACCAGTTTCAACAGCGATGCATTGGTTGGGCTTGGAGGCTGTTCTAACAAAGCATTGCTATTTATTTTCTATATATCAAACCCCGAGATACACAACAAAAATATCTTGCGATCCAGTTGTCATTTTATGGAAAATTTTTCTTGAAAAACTTTAACTTTTTTTTTTTGACTCCAGAAGTTGAAATCAAACCATTTTAGGGGTGGGGAGTTACAACATCTCACTCAAAGTTCATGTAATAAATCTGAGTCGAAAAGGATCAGATGAAACGTGAATAACACTACAGAGTTATATATATATATATATATATATATATATATATATATATATATATATATATATAAAAGGAAAACTTATATTAGCCAACACATTTCGCCCTCTGAGGGACTTTATCAAGGTTAATGCAAGGATTTCATTTTGTAACAAGAATTTATAGGCAAGAGCAAAAAATTTTAATAACTGCCAAGATTTTTTGCTCTTGTCTATAAATACTTGTTACAAAAATAAAATCCTTTGTATTTGTCTTGTGTCTTTAGTCATATTTTCCTTTTACAGATATACTATATCTGAAATTTTACACATACATATTTATAATCTGTATTTAATACACCATCTTTCTGTTACTGGTGACGCCAGGTGGTAGTGTTGTTGTTATGACGTAGTGAACTGTTCGAACTTGTTTACGAAGCTGGAAGGTTAAAATGACATTGTGAAACAGCAAAGTGCCAAAATAATAACTGAAAAATATATTTAAAGATTCACATGTGACACCGTTCTAATAATTAATAAAAACTTAACAAAATATCAGTTTCATATATGCTACAATTTTTGACGTATGGGTTAACTAGTAAATATATAGTGTGTAAATACAATATACTATAATGTTATATATAATAATTATAATTGCATTTCAATAATTATAAACATATAATTTTATTGTTTACTTTATTATTTATCATATATATAATATAAAAATAATTGTGATTTCGCGATGTCTTGCCAATGTAAATGTTTTTACATTACACGCACATCATTTGATAAATCCCAGCATCTGAATTGGTGTTGGAACTATTTTTCTTCATAATTAGTCTTGGAAGTGGGTGTAAAGACCCTAGTATTGGGGATAACTAATTTATTTTCAAATTTTCTAGATAGAGTGTTAGATATTAAGACTATGATTTTTTATTCATGTTTATAATCTTACCCTTTAACACTCTATATGTAAAATTTTGAATTGCAAATCTTTCTTCTCCTAGACTAGCTGCCACCCATGGTAAAAGAGAACTCAGTCTGGCCTATTGTTTAACCTAGAACTGGAAAAAAAGTATAATTATGCGTATCTATATATATATATATATATATATATATATATATATATATATATATTAGGCAGTTAGATTTAACATGATTTACTGAATGCAGTAGACAAGGCCTGTCTATTCACATTTTTTTATTCCCGTTTTCATTCGGTGTATGAGTAGTACATTCAGATTAAATTTATAAAGAAAGTTCGTATTTTGCTGGAATACATTCAATCATTGTTCATCATAGACATACAGTCACCACAAAAATTCATGCTGTTTTTTTATATTCTCTTCCATTTATCAGTTTAAAAGCATTAAATCCTTAAAGAAGAGACAGGTCTTAATCATTATCAGTAATATGAAACCTACCCACCATTAATGCCAGATAAGTTTTAGAAGAGCTTACCCTTAGTAGAAACAAGCAAAATCAGCCCGATAGCTTAAAAGATGACATTGAAACATTGTCTACAGTACAATTTAAAACTTGAAACAGCAATAGATTATATACAGCGTTTTGTAAAGGTAATGTTAGGGAGAGTACTACTCAAAAAGGATTCAGGTGATTTTTACTTGTAAATGTATCTGTTGAATATACACCTTCTAAAAGACTGATACTCAGTATTAGTGACGACAAATTGAGGACTTGAATTGAATGAAATCCGCTTCAAACATGCCAGATGCTTTGCAATAAGAATCAGCACATGCAATGAAACGAAATGCACATCGGAGAAAAAATACGCATGAGGAAAATAGATACTTTAATAACTGAAAGTCGCATGATTATTTTGGGTCACCTGATAGACAAGATGGTCTGATGTATCCTAAAAATAGATGAAAAACACCTGAAATTTGCCTGTTACGTGCCATGCGTGATACACGCTTAGGCGATCATGTATCTTTCGATACATGACTGACGAGACAGATTTTTCCCCCGCAGTAGGTTGCCATTTCTTTCTGCGGTAGACCAGTTGCCATCCAAGGCTATCTGTCCTGCTAGCTTGGTGGGGGTGGGGGCGAAGAAGAGGATTCAAACCTTTACCAAGGGTATTAGCACGTAAGTGAATGTAATGGATTCGACTTATCCATTACTCCACCGTGCCTCCGTCGGAGAATTTAATTGCAACCTATGTATGATTTGTGCAATGTTTTCTTTATTTTTACAAAACATAATGTCAAACATTTTAAATACCTTCCTATCGATTATATGAGGGTAGTATAAAAATTATCGATGCGGAAAGTTGAATCGATGAATCGAGATCAAATTCTGGCCTAGTCTACTTTTATCTGATTTTGTACACGTCATTAGTAAAGGCATTCTCCTTTCCACAAGGAAGTGGTTTCCTGGTCTTGAATTCAGTGGAGAAGACATCGGAAAATCACTTCTCTCCCAAGTAATATCAATTCACAAAGAATAAGGGAAATTAATCTGTTGGGAGCCATGATCGGCTACGACCTGAAGGGACATTGCAATTAAAAAAAATAATCAGCTATTGTAATGGAAGATTTATTCATAACGGTTTTAATAGAACAGACTGCCTTACATGTTACAAAGTTGAAAGATAATTAACTTATATTAAGGAATATAAGCATCTATGGTGTTGGTTTCAGAGAGAGTGTGAGAGAGAGACAGAAAGAGGGAGAGAGAAAAAAGAAGAGAGAGAGATGTGCTTTGCAGCTTAGGCAAAGTCGAACACTGCTTTCGGGCAGAAAGGAACCCCGACGATGTTTTTGGGGTGGTAGACAAACCCAATCGCGTGTATGCGGGGGTCTACAGGGAATTTTTGCCCGAGCTTTCGGGCTCGAATCGCCCCACATAAAAATCGGCCTTGTGCCAAATCCTGCCTCGTGGGAAGGTCGGGTAAATACCGGCTTGCTTTCCAGCTTCAGACGAACTTGTAAATATCTACTTGTATTGTTCTTGTCTAAAATAAACCCTTATACTTCGTAAGTTGCTGTTCTAGTTATTATTTTAACCACGCGGACAACATTACATAATTTAACAAAATCCGTCGACCAGTAAATTATTGGAGGATAACGTGTTTACGGTTAATAGATTTTGTAAATGAAGTGTCCAATATTAAGAAATAGAATTACTGTCTGAATTACTGGGATTAGGCGTTGTGATTAGTTACACTATTTAGATGCAGACTATTTTCCTTATCTTTGTTGTTGTTATCACAACATTTTCGGCTGTTGTGCACTCCAGCCATCATCAGGTGCCTGTATTTTGCTTTAATTCCTTCCTACTTTCGTTTCACTCACTTCTCTTTTCGTTTTTCTTACTTACCTTTCCACTTTAAAACTTTCTTTCAAATTTCTTCCCCCCCCCAATTATTTTGTCTTGTGAAAATGAGCAAAGACAGTTAACCTTTCACTCTATCGCTCTATGTTTGCATGTATGAATAATATTTTTAAATACCAACAGGTGTACGCACACTTTTCATGATAACGGAAAATATATAAAAACGTGGACCTTATAAAAAATGAAAGTGCTAAATGCTTCTAAAACAAGAAATATACGATCGAGCTAAAATGAATTATAGCTGCTCGTCGGCTTGTTCACGTTCGATTTTCGGTTTGTCAAGTAGTGAGTGCCAGAATTGATCTATGCTGGTTTATCTGCCATTTTCTCAATTTGTCTTTTGAAGTGTGTCTATGTAGTTTTTATAATGTATATATCAGTGTCTATATAATTGTATTTCTCCATCGTTTTGATTATTACATCATTCTACCTTCTACGTATTCTTAATGGTGTGACCACTTTCCTTGTCCTAGTCCTCCTCCTCTTTCTCGATACCTCCTCGCTTCCTGCTCCTTCTTCTAAATAGATATACGAAGGGAACACAATATTTTTGAAATTTCTAACCTATTTTTCCTTTTTAATATTCTTCTGAATTTCAGTTCCCTTTGAACTTATTAGATTTCAAGGTCTTATTTGTTTCTTCTTTTTTATGAACAAAGCGAGATAAATCAAGGTTAAAGGAAATGTGATTGATCAAATAATGGCTGTTCCCTGAAATCAAGTAATGAACAATCCGTGCAAGCAAGTCCCAAGAGCCGCTTTTTGTTCATGGAGCCAAGAAGACAAAATTGTTCAACCAATTATTTCCTGGCATTGAAAAGCAGGAAAAATATCTGGAATTGCAAGGTCGATTTTGCCTTGATCTTCGCTTATCCATGAGATGAAGACACGCATTGATAGTCGAAGCTTTGATATTGTATATCTGGAGATGTAGATGGCTAAAAGAAACTCGTTTAAATTATGAGATGTAGCTTTTAACTGTCCATCAAATAGGAAAAAAAAAAGGCAAGTAAGATAGATTAAATGTACTCACATTCGTTAGTTTTATTTATACAGACGTTTGAGAGCCCTTTCCTACAAAACAACGAATTGCCATTTTCCTTAATGTTCGAAAAATATTAAGGGTGAGAACATAACCGTTCGTAGGTGAGATGATCTGTATTTAGGTTTTACTAATAGAAAATTCTCACGTATGGAAAAATCAGGTGTCGTAAAGAACTCATCCTCTCTTCCCATATCTGCTGTTTCCTGAGTTTTACTTTGTTAATTCTGTCAATAATCGACGCATGCAAAATTAACCAATCTGATGGGTGGTTTTATAGTCACCACCTTTAGACTGGTTACTAACCAAAGCTAGTAAGCCCAGCTTGTCCTATTATTTAACCGATAGCTGGCGTGGGAGGGAAAGAATAAAATGGATTCATAATTTCCCAAGTGTGTTTAGGGAACGTAACGAACCGAATTCGAGCTTGGCTCGCCCATTTCTCTTTCCGAGCTGTTAAATTTGACACGCCTCGCACATCATTTATTTTACAAGTATACGAACGTACACGTTAAGATAAACAGGTTGAGTGAAAGACGAGCTTGCAGGCTCATCCCAACTATTAATAAACTGACCAATCAAAGACCGGACATATTTCCAGTGTTTGATTTCGGATTATCACGGACATGATTATCGACATCCTGGAAGAATTTTAATTCTCGTTTAATGCAGTTTACATAAAAGCGGCTGTACGCGGATATTAATAAAATCCATCTGCTTATCGATATCATATTAGCTTAAATTAGAAACTGACTGATTGAATATGAGTCAAATGTATCGATACTCCTTTCTTTAACGTTCACAACTGTCGTGTGGGGTCTGCTTGTTGGTTATGTATTTGTGCATTTATAATAGGCCCCACTTGTCAGTATTCGTGTCATGGATTTCGAATGCTGATTTTCAAGGCGGCCAAGCTTTCTTCACTTTTTTTAAGAATTTCACCCCAAGCAAAGCGGGAGAGCCACAATCACGCAAGGGGTTACAGAGAGTAAGAGTAAAGAGAGGCGTTTGGGGAGAGGATAAAGAGAAGGACGGGGATTAAGATTAAAAGTGTCAGAAGATGTCGATTGATATTACATTTGAATATTTGAAGGTTATAGCTATCAGAGAAGCAAGTAAGATGAAGGGAGTTCCACTGTCGGGAAGTGCGAAAGAAGAAGCTGTTGGAGTAGAAGAGGCGGTTACATTTAACAGTTTCGACAGTGAAAGAGTGGGACCGAGATACCAACGTAGTAGCACGCTTAAATTCATGTAGTTGGGATACCACTCAAAGTAGCTCGTCAGGGCAGGTGCCATGAAAATATTTGTAGAAAAGACAGAGGGAAGCCACATCATGTCTGTGATAATGTGACTGGTGTCGAGATGTCTGTCACATTGCATATTCGTTTTTGGATTTTGTTGAGAACTTCGAGATGAACAGCGGAGGCATTAGACCATATATGGTAGCAGTATTCCATGCTAGGACGAATGGCAGAGTTGTAGATTTGAAGGAGGGACTCAGACGAGAAAAACATTTTGGCGCAACACAGAGAACCAAATTTCCTTTCGGGTAGATGAAATTGTTCCCCCTCAGGTCAGTGGAAAACGTGAAACCAAGAAGGCACAGAGAGAGGCTCTCGTGAAGTTGAGCATCACCCATGTTGATAGGAGACAGGAAGGTTTCTCTAAGGGGGTAGGTAAATGAGAGCAGTTTTAGAATATTTGTGCAGAGCAATTTCCCTAAAGTTGATTTCCGCCAGTTTGACCATTGGCAAACGCTAAGTTCAGCACAGTAAATATTCAAAGACATTTAACCGTGAAACTGTCTAAAAAGGTCTAACCTCATTGGAAGTCTAACTTGGTTGACTTTTGAAAGATCACACAATTTAGTAAATAACTATATCGCCTTCTATTGGAGTAAATGTTAGTAAGCTATTTCACAGACTTTTACTACTGCAGTAAACCTCATTGGGGGTTTTACAATTGTGGCAAAGTTAAGCTTAATATTATCAGTAGCGAGTTTTTGCTAAAATTCATTGATTCATTCACTTATAGAATCTATTGTTGCTTTTAGCTTATGAGTTGCAAAAAAAAAAAAATGAAAAGAAAGAAAGAAGGAAAGCTTTTGTCTTCGCGGATTTAATGTTTTATGAACAGAAGCATTTTGTAGAAGTTAACAGATTTCTATATCGTCGTATATGGATGCACATAAATGCACAGAAGTTTACACTATCTATCTATCTATCTATCTATCTATCTATCTATCTATCTATATATATATATATAAATTATAAAACAAGGATCATGACATTTATCGAGTGATATATATATATATATATATATATATATATATATATATATATATATATATATGTTATACATAGTACATATACCTATCCGAGTGTGTTTCTATCTATCTATCTATCTATCTATCTATCTATCTATCTATCTATCTATCTATCTATCTATCTTCTTGTTTGATCCTTATATTACATTATACCCAGGAAGTTTGGGATTCACGCCCATTCATTATTTGGTACTATTGAAATGGTTTTGTGCAGTTGTCTGTTATATTATGCAATTTGATATTGGAAATCTAGGTACTTTGCAGATGGGCCGTTAATCGGATACTTGGCTGTTTCTTCATTGTATATATTTTTCACATATATACTTTTCATATATATATATATATATATATATATATATATATATTATAAAGACATGATGAAACTAATTCAAGAGAGTGCTTTCACAGGATATTCTCTCTCACACACACACACACACACACACATATATTAGCTTATCAATAGTTTTAAAATTATGTGTATGCGTATTGTTTTCTTTCTGTCTCGACAAATGTATTGCACAATGGATATCCATATATTTATATATGTGGGCATATATATGTGTGTGTGCGTATGTGTGGACGGGTTTATTTGTGTATTCTTTATGTGCTTGCGTATGTGTGCGTGTTTGTGTGTGTGCAAGTCTGATTCCAGTGAGACAAACAAAAAAAGCGGGCGTAGGACAATGGAGACGAACTAAAGTGTTTTGTTGCTAACATTTAGTAAAAGTCGTTCGATTTTATGTCAGGGAGATTTTTTTTTTTTGCTTTATTTCGGAAAAGGAGATTTTTGCTGTCAAAACTGCATTTTATATTTGGTATAAGCAAAGTGACAGAAATATTCTTAAGATTTGTCTTTTTATTTTAAAGAAAAGAAAGAATTAAAGAACTTTGAATAAAGACGAAACTAAACAAGAAAGGAAATAAAAAAGAATGACGTGAGAGGAAGGAAGGAAGGAAACAGGAAAGGAAAGGAAGAAAAAAGAAGACAAGAAAGAAAGAAAGAAAGAAAGAAAGAAACAAACAAACAAACAAACAAACAAAAAGAATAGAAGAAAAAGTAAAGAAAACATTAAAAAGTGTAAGAAAAATAATAAACGAAAAAAGAAAGGAAAAGGAAGAAGAGTGAAAAGAAAGGAATTAAAAAAAAGGAGAGGATGATGTAAAGGAAAATAGAGGAAAGAAAGAAAGAAAGAAAGAAAGAGTGAATGAATGATATAAGGAAAGTTTTAAGGAAGAAAGATCAGAAGAGGAAAGGTACAAACAGAAGAAATAAAATAAACTAAGAAACGAAGAAAATCAGGAAAGAGCATAAAATATCGTAGAAGGTCTAATGCTGTTGATTATGCAAACAGCACGCATTAAAAGCCAGAATTAACCGAACTTCTGCCGTAAATCTTCGTCTACTTTGTCCATTTTCTAAACTGAATCCCCGATAGAACAATTAAAAAGAAGAAAAATGAAAAAATAGCGAATAAGCAGTTTCTACATTAAAAAAGACAGAATCATTTTTATTTTGCACTATTTCAGCCGACATGCTCTCCGAACTTTATTATTGAAAATAATCGATAATTTATTATTTGATATATATTATTCCAATGGAACACTTCTCCCCGAATGGAAATTTTCTTTTATTTATGTATCTTAAATTAAATTCACATCACAAAGGTACCAAAATAGGATTCTTAGTAATTTTCAAAAAGTACAGACGCCGACGGCACTCATGGCATTGCGCTTTTCAGTTTAAAAGTTCTTCATTGTGTATTGTTCTCTGCAATTTAACTTAATTCAGAAACTACTTGAGAACCATGCCCTAAAGGTGAGTGGGTGTCATTTTGGCGGTTAACATCTATATCTTGCCATCACCGAAAGATCCCGCAAGGTAACACGTTCACTTAGGGAATTAAATGAGAAATGAAAATCGTTCATAAAAATGTTGTATAAGTATTCGCTAAGAGAAGGTTTACAGAAGGTGAGCAGAGAAAAAGGAAGAAAAAGAAAAATAGTAAGTTTTTGTTTATCTGTGTTATTTGTTTATTATATTGTATTTTTTCGTAATGACTTATTCTTCCTCACATGGGAAATTCCATGTTGAGTAAAAAAAATAAAAAATTTGTAAAAAAATCAGTCTTTCAAGATAAAGCATTGAATTGTCTTTTATGGGGATTAGTCCTGGTATGTGGTCAGATAGAAGGTATTAGAAATATATATATATATATATATATATATATATATATATATATATATATATATATATATATATATATATATATATATATATATATATATATATATATATATATATATATATATATATACAAAAATTTATGACCGCCATGAATAGCTAACTGGTTTCGAACCTCGCTGAACAGAGCTAAATCGAGGTTAATAAATTAAACAGAATTATCACAAAAAAGAGATGTACAATATGTATTGGGGAGGGAGAAAAATATTGCTTAGATGGAAATTAGTTGGAGGCCCAGTACGAAGTCCTTCTGCTTATAATAAAATTGCTGAATTCAATAAAGTTATACCTACTATGGTTAGCTAGCCCGTTTTTTTTTTAGTTTTACTTTTTATCTATTACCATCAGGAGTGGTAATAAAAATTAAATTCTGTCTTTTCATGATGGACAGTGGAAAGTTAGGTAGCTATATGTAAGGGATTATGTGGTCGCAGATAGGTTTTTCTGCTTGTGTGGCATGGTGCAGAATCCTGTTGTCAGATATAGGGTCTTCCAGCAAGCATCGTATTGACCCAGGGCAGCACTACCTCCTGAAGGTAGGCCGTCGTGTTGAGTCTGAGGCCCTGTGGGAAGATCAATCGAGGCACAACGTTGCCATCACTTGTGATCATTCCAAACACCCTGATGTTGACTGGATATATCATCCAACTCTTTCCGAATCCTCTGCACTGTCCTCATATTGACACCCAAACTCTGAAATGTTCATATTGGAGCTTCCGGTGCGAATGCCAAGCAGTACAGCATGCCGTATCCAAATTTCTGGCGGAGTCATGGTGCTCTATTTCTCACAGACGGCACCCAACTGACCTTACAGTCAAGTCAATCAAAAACAAACAACGCGCATGCGTAAAATTAAAAATGTAAAATGGCGTCTATTTACCTATCGCACCCTTATATATATATATATATATATATATATATATATATATATATATATAGAGAGAGAGAGAGAGAGAGAGACAGACTGAGAAAAAGTTACTGATAGGTTTTTCGCCTCTATTTATTCACACTAGAAAAGCAATATCGTAGAGGTCTTTCTTTCTTTCTTTTTTTTTCTCTCTCTCTATGTCTCTCTCTTTTCCACCTCCCACACAAATATAATGACAAAATTTTATTTTCTGATAACTATGCTTTCTTACTCCATGTTTTAAAATAAAGATTTTTCTGGTTTCAAGAAGAAAACGAGAGCTGCAATATGTCTTCTTGATCGTATTCGCATTTATATTCTTGTTCGAGTAAAGAAGAATTACAACCACAATCCATAACGATTTCAGCAACAGGTTTTTTTTTATTTTCCTGACCATATCTGTACTCTCTATTTAACGTTTAAGTGAATGGATGAAAGAAGATAGAAATGAAGGAAAGCAAAAGGGCAAAGGTTACTTAGAGCAGCTAAATTCCGTAAGTTATGGAGAGCTATGATCAGCGATGTCTTAGAACAACATAGTATACAGAAAAAAGATATAAACATCAAATACTGACTGTCTAGGGATTTCGACGAACACAAGACACTTCTCGAAAAAAAATAACACTCGACGATAAATCGAGCAGAGATCCCAAAGAACCAATCTGAGTTTTTCAAGTATCTATCGCATTTCAAAATCTTATTGACATAAGAAGTAGCAGAACGCAAAATTCACTCAACTCCTTCACCAATGGCTGATTATACTTCCATCTCTAATAGTTTGTTGAAAGTTTTAAAAAATATCACATACTATGTTGTTTTAAATCGTAAATTTAGTAGTTCTCACTTGCGAAACTCTCTTACGGTCCCATGTTTTCCTTCCTTCAAAAATTTAAATGCAATATAAATCGTTTCCTACTGTCTTGTTGATTACTTGTTGATTACTCTTCTATTGTTCTCACTACTTAATAATGTTTCTTTTTTTTCTTATTCTTTCACATTCAATAAACCCTTGTGTCTTAGTGGCTTTACTGAATTGCATGTGATGAAATGATAAAAAAAGAGTTAGTATAGAAACTCCAACGACCTTTTGTACTAAATAAGCAACAGCTGGGGATAGTGATACAAATTAACAGGGCGACATGTTTACTTGAACTACAAGTTGTACACATCTCTTCTCAGTGTCTCATATTTTTGTTTGTGTCCCAATCCTTCATTTCCTTCTGAAGGCTTTCAACACTTATTACTTCATTACGTCCCTGAAATCTTTTATTACTTCATTACGTCCCTAAAAACTTTTATTATTTCATTACGTCCCTGAAATCTTTCATTATTTCATTACGTCCCTAAAAACTGTTATTATTTCATTACGTCCCTGAAAACTTTTATTACTTCATTACGTCCCTAAAAACTTTTATTATTTCATTACGTCCCTGAAATCTTTCATTATTTCATTACGTCCCTGAAATCTTTCATTACTTCATTACGTCCCTAAAAACTGTTATTATTTCATTACGTCCCTGAAATCTTTTATTACTTCATTACGTCCCTAAAAACTTTTATTATTTCATTACGTCCCTAAAAACTGTTATTATTTCATTACGTCCCTGAAAACTTTTATTACTTCATTACGTCCCTAAAAACTTTTATTATTTCATTACGTCCCTAAAAACTGTTATTATTTCATTACGTCCCTGAAAACTTTTATTACTTCATTACGTCCCTAAAATTTTTTATTATTTCATTACGTCCCTGAAATATTTTATTACTTCATTACGTCCCTAAAAACTTTTATTATTTCATTACGTCCCTGAAATCTTTCATTATTTCATTACGTCCCTAAAAACTGTTATTATTTCATTACGTCCCTGAAATCTTTTATTACTTCATTACGTCCCTGAAAACTTTTATTATTTCATTACGTCCCTGAAATCTTTCATTATTTCATTACGTCCCTGAAATCTTTCATTATTTCATTACGTCCCTAA